ATTTGGTTGTTAAAGAATTTGCCTTCTTGAGATAAAAGATGTGTTTCAGATAGAGTTTGTACCCGGGTTGAATATTACCCAGTTATCTGCAGGTAGACGGGTATTCGGATTGTAATTATAGCAACCCGGGTAGACAAACCCGGGTGATCTACAAGTAACTAACCGGGTAATCACCCGGGTAGTATATGCGAGTAATCATCTGTGTAACTTATCGAAAAAAAATATTTAGAGTACTTTCAAGCTGATTTGTAAAATGTTTATATCTTTGAAAGTGTTTAAAAATCTGCTTATAGAAGATAGACTGTTTGGCAATTTTTGAATTGATAAGCCTTCTAAATTTTTTTGATTATTTTCTAGTGAAGATGCTTTGAAATTGTTATATTCCTATGTTCAATTAGAGATATATGTACGAATATACTATACATATAGTACTAAAATCTTGTAATATTTGTGAAGCTTAATCTATTACAGTATTGTGTGGCTAATTTTTATCAGTGTTTCAGGGATTATAATAATAGCTGTAATTAACAAAAAACAATTTAGCTGAACAAGTAAGATCTTTATTGCGATAAAAAAAATAGTTTTGACCATCTTTTTCCATCATAGAGTTGTGCCGATTAGTTAAAATTTAATAACCACATTTTGTAATATAAACTTCAGCAAATTTATTATAAGATTGGCTTCAATTAATTATAGTACTTGTGAACGATCTCAATAACTGACCATTCATATTAAGAGATGCTAGAAAGCACTCTTAATTATATTTTTTAAAATCTAAATATTTTAAAGCTTAGCTAATTGAGTATTTGTTTATTATTGCATTGAAAGAAATAAGCAAGCACAGACTATTTTCTTATTTAATTGTTCAAACCTAATACTATCTTAAATCAGATTACTAAGCAGACTTGATTTTGTTATAAAGAACATAATCCACAAGTATAGTCACATAAGGTCGTAACTTCTACACATGAACAACAAAGAATTATAAAATATATGCATACATAACCAGATACTGACACATACCAGATTGAATCTTTTGCATTTTAGCATAATCTATCCTATAAAAGAATAAAATTTACATGTATACCTCTCTTAATTTAGTATATAGCGAACAAAATTTAGATATAAATATATTCTATATTCATAGAAAATTTAGTGTAACAGAAAAAATAAATAAAAATAGTAATTTATCTTTTTTTCAAAGGTTACAAGTTTGCTGTTGTGTTTTTTTTTTGTTTAGCGTTTCATAAATAAAAACAAACCATTACTAAAAAAGACATGCATAATTCTACCCTCTTATGGTATAATTTACTATTAGCAGAATGCTAAAATGGTAAAATAAAATCTCTAAAACGCTAAAACAAAAATTGTTGCTAAATTAAGAAAGTCTTGTTAAATGCATGCAATTGCTAAAGTTCCGAAAGATGTATGCAAAGAGAAAAAAAATACTAAAGCCTGCTAAATGCTGTAATAAAGTATATCTTAAGTTTACAGCTGTATAGAAAGAAAGAAAATTTGCTAAAAACCATTAGATAGATGAAACAAAAGATCAAACGATGATTGCATAGATATTTTTTATCATAGTTTTTTATATATAACTATTTACCCATAAATAAAGTCCAAAAATTTATATAAAAAGTCGTAAGTTTGTCTCTTGCTATAGAAAAAAAAACATCTTGCAAATAAACTAAATAAAATTTGACTATACTTCCATTTGATACAATTTAATTGTTAAGTCTTTTAAATTCAAATCTTCGCTCTACGCAGGCGTAAAGCTTAAATATAAATACAAAAATAAATTAGCAAAAATTTCTTTTCTATTTTCTTTAACAACCATGGATATTAATAATGAATATAGCTTTGATAATAATCCTTATACTAATTCTTATACTGACCTTTGCGACCCCTATACTGACCCTTGTGATCCTTATACCAACTCCTATATTAACTCTGATACCGATCCTCAAGATAGTAATAATGAACTTCCTAGAACTTTAACTAGAAGAAAGACTACTGATAAGTCTGTAGAAGAACAAAGCACAAAAAAAATCAGAGTAAATTTTGATAATTCAATAGTTACCAATCCAAGTTATGTTTGGAAATATTTTAAGATTGAAAAAGATGGACACGCTTATTGTAAAATACTTGTGCTTAGAAAAGGTAGTGACATTGAGTGTGGAACAAACTACAAACATGATGGTGGAACTGGTAATATGAAGCTTCATCTTCGAACAAAGCATGATATTTTAGGACCAGATGATTTTACAACAAATCCAAATAAAAAGTATCAATTACAAATTGATAAAATGGTTAAAAAAGTAACTCCTCATAAAGAAACCATACAAACAGAACTAAAAAGAGTTACAGCTGAGTGGTTAATTACAGACTCTCTGCCTTTCAATACTGTTCACGGAGTAGGATATAGAAAAATGATAGGTAGAATTGACACTGCATTTATACCACCAAATAGTAAAAATATTAAGAAAGACCTTACTATTGCTTATAAAAAAAATGTATTAGAACTAAAACAATTACTTCAGACTACCTGTGAAACTGCTTCGCTCACCACTGATTTGTGGACATCCCGAAATAATGATGGGTATATTGGCTTGACCATCCATTAGCTAATACAAGATTTTGAAATCCGTGATTCTATATTAGCTATTGAAAAATTAGATCATCCACATATCAGTGAAAGGATTCAAGAATATCTGGAACAAAAAGTTAATGAATTTGGATTGGCTGAAAAGATAGTTTGTGTTGTTATGGATAATAGAGCTAATATGAAAAAAGCTATTAGAATTTGGAGTGGTGTAGAACGTGTTTCCTGCTCTGCCCACACTCTCCAACTTACAGTTATCCAGGCTCTAAAAATCATCAAACCATATACCAGAAAAATCAATAAACTTATTAAATTTTTCAACTCATCAAAACAAAGTCAGCACTTGGACCAAGCACAAATCGAATTAGCTTAGCATAGCAAGACCATTTCAACTCCTCTAACCCCTCTTCAATTATATAGTTCAGATAATTCATATGAAAACTCTTCATCTGATATAGAAATTAATGAAAATAATAAATTAGAAATAACTGAAAAAAAATTTAGAATTTTGCGTAATATTAGTGATATAAAAACTAGGTGGAACTCGACCTATAAATCCTGGCAAAGGCTTTTGGTCTTGTGCCCAGCAATCGAATGGCTTTCTGCTACCCTACATTTAGGAAATGAGGATAGTGTTAGAGAAGATTCCAATAAATTACACCATCTTATGCTCGATGATAATGAATGGGTGTTATTACAAAAATTAATAAGTGTATTTAAGCCATTTGATGAGTTAACCACTTATCTTAGTGGAATTCGATATGCCACCTTTTCAGTAGTTAATCCAACTATTGAGGCATTAAAATCAGAATTCGAAGATTATGACATGTTTGTATCTAGTGAAAGTATTAATGAAAATATATCTAATATTGAAGGTAAACTTTTTGTAATTAATACTAATGTTAATAAATATACGTATACTGGGTGTTTTAAAAGTTTTAAGACATGGTTCTTTTTTTTAAGTAACTTTATACATAAAAACTATTCAAGCAAATATATTTTCATAAATAATTATCATGATATCTATATATAAGGTTACTTAAAAAAAGGACTGTGTTTTAGAACTTTTAGAACACCAGTTATATTTAATATTAATGCCAACAAATATTAATGTTAAATTGTTAATATTTTAGATGAGATATTTTTATCTGAAGATGAAGGTTCTTCTAATGAAAGTTCAGATGAAACAGATACTCGACGGCCAGCTGCACATAAGTATCAAATAAACAAACAAAAAAAACAACCTTCAAATGATAGTATCATTTCAGAAGTTCGAAAAGCTATTTACACTTCCCTTAAACATTATTGGCATGATCCAGATCATATTGGATTAATTGCCACATTATTAGATCCCCGCTTAAAATCAATGAAATTATGGTCAAATGAAACAAGAAATAAAACTATTAGAAAGTTACGTGTTGAATTCAAGACATGAGAAAGTGTAGTTATAGCTGATAAATCAAATGAAGATACCAGAGCTGAAACCTCTTCTTCATCCGCACCTGCTTTTATGAGAAAAGTATTTAGCAATGATCAAACCCAAATAAATCATGAAACTGAAATAGATAATTACTTAAATGAAAATGTTACAGCAACTCAACCTGAAGCCACAGATGTTTATCAGTGGTGGAATATTAACCAGCATACTTTCCCTATACTAAGCCGAATAGCACGTAAATACTTATCGATTCCTGCCACCTCAGTTCTGTGTGAAAGGCTTTTTTCTGATGCTGGAATCCAAATTACTCCCAAAAGAACCCGGTTGTCTCCTGAAGTGGTTAATGAACTGTTATTTGTTAAAAGAAATAGTCTATATTGTAAAAGCACTTGGACTTAAAATAGTTTTTTGTTCATAATTAAGTAAACCTGATTACTAAAGATAAAATATAGTAATTTAGCAATAGGTAGGAAAAAACATATTAAAGATTTAGGCCATATATAAACTTACTAGTAATGATAGCTATTTATATATTATTCTTTTTAGAACTTATTAATTTAAAATTCATAGATACTATAATAATTCGCATATTCCATAGCGATTGTGTTTAACAAATAAAATTTTTTATCTACTGTATAAAAAGCTCTTTAAAGACCAATGCTGTATATCGATATTTTGAAAACACTAGAGCTTGGCAAACTTGAAATAGTTTTGTGCTAAGTTAAGTGATCGTTGACTGTAATGAAAAATGGGGTTGTCAGAATCAGGGAATTCAATAAACTTAACAGATAAGTATAAATTATACCTGATATTTAGCAGGGCCAATTGATCTTGATATATGAGAACTGTTAATGATTATAATAACTTCGCTTATTCCCGCTAGTGATACAAATCAAAAGTTGAAAAATCGATTAGTTGATTAAGTTGACAACTAATCGATTCCATTTTTTAAAATCAACTTAATCGATTAATCGATTAGTTAATTAATTGTAATTGATTAATCGATCGATTAATCGATTAATTGATTAATCAACTAAAATTAATCAAATCGGTTGATTAGTTGATATGCATTATCATAGGATCTTAGCATTATTGTATTTAAATTTACTAATTACAATGCTAATCAATTATTGTAAAATATATGTACTGTATGTATAAATTAAAATATTTATTTAAGATTAAATATATTATTAAATGCAAGTTAACTAACTAGATAATGTATAGATCGGTAATCACTAATTTGAGGTTTTGTCCAAAATTGAATAACTATTCTAACCTTCTTTTTATTGTAGTAGGGAAAGAAAAAACATAATGCGATTATTAGCATTAATGTCATTAATTGCATTAATCGCATTAATCGAATTAATGTCATTAATCACATTAACGTCATTTATTGCTTTAATACTGTACATTAATCGCTGTACCAAACCTAAGTATAAAAGTGCGGCTTCAGTCGCTAGAAATAAAAAAGGGGGGAGCTCAGAAGAAAAGAAGTGAATAACTTGGTAAAATATTAAACCCTTCAAAATCAGAGTAGAATCGTTAAAGTACTTATCTCTTAAGTTTTGCCCATAATAAGTCATTCCATCTTACTTTCTTGTCCTCGTTACTATTGTAAAAATCTTATTCGAATAACTTCATTAAGTTATAACCTGTTATAACCTTTGAAATAAGAGTAGAAGCGTTAAGCTCTACAAAAATAATTTCGAAACACTTTAACAGAAGCAGTTACCCTTTCTCAAAAAATATGCGATGACAGGATTATGTGACGGATGCGAATAATTTAAAAAATATGCGATGTTCGATTAGCAGAATTTAAAAAAAAACATGTAACGATCGATCAACTAGTCGTTGAATAAATAAATATAATTTCGATTGAAAGAATTTTCAACTATTCGATTGAATCACCCGATTATATCACCGATCACCCGGGTATATCGGGTAAAATTTTATACCCGGATATATCTGCCGATCACCCGAGTTACCCGACGGGTAAACCCGCGGGTACCTGGGTAGCGATTTTTTCTATAGGTACAATCTCTAGTTTCAGAAAGGTCTAAGATATCGAAGGAATTTTTGGTAAGTGTATTTTGAATAGAAAGTTTTTTGTTAGGTTGATTAAGGTCATTAATATTTAGAGAGGCTATCTTAATAGGGAGAGAGGTATATTCAGGTGCAAAAGTAGGATTTGAAAATTGTGTAAGTGTAGTATAGTTAGATTTTAGAGGAATGTTTTGAAAATTAGAGAGGTTTTTAAAAGGAACCAGGGAATGGTTAGGTAGGAGAGAAGTTTCATGTAGTAAGTATATATGTGCTTTACTAGTGGAATTTGTTTTGGTTAAGATAGAAATTCTAATGTATTGTTTAGTGAAATAATCTGGGTAATTTGTTTTGATATATTGTATGAATGAAATAAGTGTTTGTGGGGAAGGTAGGAATTGAAAACTATAATAAAGAAGAAATTTGTTAAAACATGTAGGATCATAAAGATCAAGTAGGTTTGAGAGGGGAGGGTTGTTAATTTTGCCTAAAAGAGTATTTGTAGTTGAAGATGTGTTATCATTTTCTGAATCATCTGGGAAGGAAGTTTTAGGAAGTAATGTTGTAGGTAGTGAGGTATTTATAAAGATAGAGAGGATAATAGATTAAGTAGATGTTAGAGAAAAAATATTTTTGATAGAAGTCTCAGTAGGGTTTGATGAAATGAAAACTGAAACATTTTGAAGTTCTTCTATAGAATCACTCGCCATATGCTCAGCTCTCACAGCTGTGCAGGATACCATAGCCTGTTCTGTTTGTTGGGTCTGGCCGTCATAAACCTGGTCCTCTGCATATAGTTTATCTCTTAATTTTTTATAAAAGAATAAAGTATATACTATATCTTATAAAAGAAGAACAAGATTTAGAAAGAAAAAATAAAAAATAAAAAAAAAAAAAGTATATTCTAAATTTAATTTAATTATAAATAAACAAAAATAAAAAAAAAAAAAAAAAAAGATATTAATCTGATATACTAAAAAAGAAAAGAAAAGTACACTATTATAACCTATACTAGGCTTAAAAAATTGTATAGCAAATACAACATTTGTATATCTCTACTGTAAAACTTTGTCTTAACATATTCATTTCTTTCTGACTATATGACTAATTCTGGATAAACTTTTAACTGAGAACAATTAATAGACCTTGTTATGTGAAGTAGCAATATGATTGTTACTAAACAAAACACATAGTTGCAATCTACTAGGTTAATCAAATTTGAAAGAAGTAAACAATGCTGATCTTTTGATGGGGTAAGCTATTTTGTTTACTTTTTTCAAAAATTTTGTTGTAAGTACAAGTAGGTGATAGTAAAGAGTATAGACCTTGTATTTTTTTTAAGAGAAAGTATGTATTTCTTTAAAAACAATAAGACAAGAAGATCTAAGCACACTGCTAATATTCTTTTTGATAAGTGATAAACTTTGAACTTGTTAGCAAGTAGCATATGAGAACTACTTCTAAATAACAAGTGCTGTTTTCATAATAAGTAATAAGTTTTAAATCTATTAGCAGATAGCATATAAAAACTATCTCTAAATAATAGATACCAGTTTATAGTTTTTATTAGTTTTATGTCCTTCTTCTCTAACATAGTTTTACTGTTTTTTGTTGAAATTTTTTGTTTTGAAAAGTTGGTTCAAGAGATTATTAGGAAGAGTTTTGTCAAAATTTGGTTTAATTTTTTTAATAAAATCTTATATATTAATTTTAGCTATATATTTTTTAAGTAAAATATTTAATTTTAAATTTGTTTTATTAACTTTATTAAGAAAATTTTTTAAAATTATTAAAAAACTTTAG